GGGAAGCAGCTGGGGGGACGCAGGGAGGAGGGCTTCTCGCGGGGACCCCGAAAATGGCGTTTTTTGTCGACGTCGTTTTTTAACAATGTCGGCGAAAAACGTCATTTTCGGGGTCCCCGCGAGAAAAGCTCTCCTTCGGGGATTATAAAGGAAGAGTATTACTTTGTTTCAGGTTTTCAAAAAAATGGCGATGCCCGCCTGTTCAAATTGAGTATTCCCCTTCCCCGCCTAGTGGAAGGAGAACACCTCTCAGCCTCTTCAAGAGAGGAATAGAGAGTTCTCCCTCCTCTTCTGGGGGGATATTGAAATCCCCCCATCCCGTCAGGAGGAGGAAACGAAGTCCCTCCTCCTCTGCAGGAGAAGAAGGTGATTGCACCTTCCCCTCCTCTTCCCCTAATATACTTGACCCTCTGTGGCCTCCGAGTACATTAGGGGGGTAGTCCTCCTCCGTATCCTTGTCCAATGTGTATCTTCTGAAATAAATATTTCACACCCCATTTCGATTTCAAAATAACCTTTATCACAGCAATTATTAAATCAGCTTGTAACATGCTATAAAATGTTTGTGGGAATGGCGACGTACTTACTGAAAACATAGTATTGGCTGAGTTATAATAAGAAAACAGGAAAGAAAGAAGGTTGATAATCAGAATAGTACGAGGTAAAACAATGAGGGAAATCAAATATAATACTTCATACGGTTCNACTAACAAGGATATGAGATAAGGTTCAGCAAATTAAAATAGTTTTAACCTACAGGATCACTAAGAACCAACTAATATCTCGTATACAACTACTTCAAGAAACATCAATGAGATAAGGCTCAGCGTAACAGACTAGTACCAGACCCGCAGGATCATTTAGAACCAACTAATCTCTCGCACACAACTACTTCCTCTAACATCTATGAGTTAATACTCAGCGAACCCAAATAGTTCAAGACACACAGAATCATTTAGAACCAATTGATATCTCGCACACAACTACTTCAAGAGACATGCATGACATAAGGCTCAGTATAACATACTAGTACCAGACCCGCAGGATCATTTAGAACCAACTAATATCTCGCACACAACTACTTCCTCTAACATCTATGAGTTAATACTCAGCGAACCCAAATAGTTCAAGACCCGCAGGATCATNCTAACATCTATGAGTTAATACTCAGCGAACCCAAATAGTTCAAGACCCGCAGGATCATTTAGAACCAACTAATATCTCGTATACAACTACTTCCTCTAACATCTATGAGTTAATACTCAGCGAACCCAAATAGTTCAAGACACACAGGATCATTTAGAACCAATTGATATCTCGCACACAACTACTTCAAGAAACATCTATGAGATAAGGCTCAGTATAACATACTAGTACCAGANACAACTACTTCAAGAAACATCTATGAGATAAGGCTCAGTATAACATACTAGTACCAGACCCGCAGGATCATTTAGAACCAACTAATATCTCGCACACAACTACTTCAAGAGACATGACATAAGGCTCAGATAACAGACTAGTACCAGACCCGCACGATCATTTAGAACGAACTTGGATCTCGCCACATGAAACTACTTCAAGAAACATCATTAGCAGTATCTCAAGTTTATCGAAAGGATAGGGGTTAGGTGGAAAAAG